GCGTCATAGTAGCCATCTTCGTCGTCGGCGTCGGAGCCAGAATCGGCGTTTCTAGTCGTCGGTCCTCGTCGAGCCATTGCCGTGGGAGTCCGAATCGTCGGCGAGATGGTTGTGGTCGGCGTCGAGTTGGTCGGAGTCGTCGGAGCCGTAGTCGTCGTCGTCGTCGTCATCGGAGTCGTCTCCGGCGGAGTCAGTGTCGTCGGAGTCGTTGTCGTTGCACACAAAAGCGGAACCGTCGTCGTTTGCGTCAGCGTCGCCGTCGTCTGATTTATCGGAGTGGGCGGCGGAGTCAGAGTCGTCGGAGTCTCCGCCATTTTCATTGGACCCGTCGTCGTCGCGGTCGTCGTCGTCGTCGTCGTCGCTGTCGTCGTCGCCGCCAGACGCGTTGTAGGAGTTGTCGTCGGAGCAGGAGCCGGAATCGAAACCGGAGCCGTCGGAGTCGACGACGCAAGATTCGTTATCGGACCCACCAGCGCCGTCGGAAACGTCGAAGACTCACTGACCTGCGCACTCACTTGGTGGCCTACTTGACTGACTTGCTTCCCGAACGACTCGAAATCATACACCCCTCCTCATATTACTACGCCTCCTCTTGTCTGTCTGCATCCTCCTCTTGCACCTCCATCTCCGTTGCCCTATACTGGCGCTGCGCCCCCTTCCTGATATCATCCCCACTCTCTCCTCATCCTCCTGCGATCCAGGCTTGGTGGAGGACGCGATGATGATGGCGACGATGATGACGAAGACGAGAATGAGCACATCAGAGATGATAAGAATAGCGGCAGTGCTGACGACGCGTCAGTAAATACGCGAGATGATGCTGCCAATGTTGCAGACGCGTTCTGCGGGCCTCCTTGCGGCAGCAACTGCCCATGCCCTTCCCCATCAGAGTTACAGGTCAACTCTACATCTTCGTTGAAACCGCGCATCCCCCTGCTTACGGAGGGCTCCTGAAACCGCCAAACCGTTCAACTCACCCAGGAGTGCTTCGGGAATCGGCAAGCCCTTCGGCGCTCGAGCGCCAGCGCCCTGGAAAACACGAATCTGGTCAAAAATGCTCACCGCCCACTTCAAACCATGTGTCTCGCGGCTTTCGTACGAAGCCGTGTTGTTCCGTAGCGCGAGCGAGAGACTCGTTTGGGGCCTCTCATGGCTTGTCAAAGGCTGCCAAAGATCGACCGAGAAACTTGCTCGTGGCCTCACTCGGGAGCGGCCAAGAGGGGGGTGTCCAAGAGGGGGGGGTGCAAATCATGACCGGCGGCATGTGCGCGGCCCAGCGGGGGGGCCAGGGACGTAATGAAACAAGAAGAGGCGCCATGAGATCTGGGGAAATATCATGGCCCCCGCCATGATATCCCCCCCCCTAGTCATCAACCCCCTCTTTGCCGCCCCCGATGCTCGTGGCCTCACATGACCATCTCGACCCCTCGCGGGACGCGGGCCCCGACGGCATCCTGGTCGCTGCAGGGCCTTGAGGACGGGCTTCCCGGGGTGGGCGCCCAGGGCCTCCGGATGGCCCCCTGGACCCCGCGGGAACGGCACCCCCTGCCCCGCCCTCGTCAACATTCTCATACACAAGCTCGTATAAGCATACACTAGCTCGCACATAAACTGAACTTTATGATAAATCTGGATGTCAGCCGCCCTCCCCGCCACCACCCGCCAACCTCAGGGCAGCCGCGAAGACGGCCTGAGGCACGGAGGGGGCCAACGGCCCCGCGACAAGACGGCGGGGGGGAGGGCTTCGGCAGCGGGGGCCAGGCTGTAGCGTGACTCGAGCGACCATCGCGAACGCACCCGGGCTGCTCAGCTTAGCGCGAAGGGTCGTCGGGACGAGTGCAGACGACTCCGGCGTCGACGACGACGACGATGGTTCCAACGACCTCGTCGTCGACGATGGCGAAGAAGACGATGACGACGACGGCGGCGATTCCGACGACGGCAGCAACGAAAGGCGACTCCGACTGCGACTCCAGCTCCGACCACGGCGGCGACGATGCAGACAACGATTCGGGCGATGAGTCTGGCGGCGATTCCGACGCTTCCGACAATTCCGACGACTCTGGCAATGACAACGATTCCGACGACGATGTCATCGACTACGACGGCGGCGGCGTCGACATCGACGATTCAGACGACGACCCTACCAACGGAAATGACGGCGACGGCTCCAACGATATCGACTCCGACTTCGACTCCGACGACAACGAGTCTGGCGACGACGACTCCAACGACAACGGCGGCTCCGAGTCTGACCCCGACGACTCCGACTACAATCCCGACGGCTATCTGGACAACAACAAAAACGCCGACGACGACGACGACGACGACGACGACACCGACACTCAGACGACTCCGGCCCCGACGACAACTTCGATGACGGCAGCGACGACGACAACGGCGACGTCGACTGGGGCAACTTCGACGACGATGACGGCGACTACGAAAACTCTGACGATTCCGACGACGATTCCACACATGATTCCAACTACTCCGACTCCGAAGGCGGCGACTTCTGAGGCAATTCCGACCACGACTACAACGATAACGCCAACGGCGACGACTTCGACGACACCGACGACAACGCTGACTCCGACGACGACACCGACCGCGACACCGACGACTCCGACGACGACGAAGACGACTCCGACAAGTGATCGTCGGAACGTCGTCGACTTTGTCATCGGAGTCGGCGTTTATACCAGAATCGAAGCCAGAGTCGGGTGAGTCGTCGCAGGCAATCGAATCGTAGTCGCAGTCGTCACTGGAGTCGCACGATTCGTCGCCGTCGTCGTCGGAGCCAGAGGTGTGGTCGTCGTCGACGGAGTCGTCATCGTCGATGTTGTCGTCATCGGAGTCGTGCTTGTCGTTGTTCGGAAATAGAGTCGTCTTCGTAAGAGTCAGAGTCATCGTCGGAGTCGTTTTCGCAGCTGCCATCGTCGGAGTCGTTTGAGTTATCGGAGTCACGTCGTCGTCGCGGTCGGATTCAGAACGGTCGGGGTCGCCGTCGTCGTCGGCGGCGTCATGTTCGGCGTCGGTGCCGGAGTCGTCGGAGTCGTCGACGTCGTCGTTGGAGTTGTCGGCGTCGTCGTTGTCGAACTCCCCGTCATGGTCGGAATCAGAAAAGTCGTCGGAGTTGTGATCGGCGTCGTCTTCGTTGCCACGGTCGGAGTCGAAATCGTCGGAATCGTCGTTTCCGTCGGAGTCTAAGTCGCCGTCGTTGGACGTGTCGTCTTTCGAGTCGGAGTCATCGTCGGAGTCGTCGCCGTGGTTGACGTCGTCGGAGTCTTCGGCGGAATCCTCGGAGTCGCCGTCGGAGTCGCTCGTCGTCGCCGTCGTTGGAGTCGTCGACCCTAGCGGGAGCGCCCTCGTGCTCGCTCACGCCCATTTCGGCACAAAACTTACGGAGAGCGTGCCCCATATGGGGCTGCTTACGGCCCCAATTGTGACGTCTGCATGCGGGCCCACGCCGTCGTGGTCGTCGATGTCGCGGAGGGCCCCAATAGAACGGCCCTGGTGGTAATTATCGTCATATCGTCATGATGAGTTAAGTCTTCGTCATGCTAAGTTGTGCTTTCATGACCGCTCTGTGCATCAGCATCACAAGATCGAATATCTATGATATCACTATGGTTTGTTGGAGGTTGGTGGGCAGGGGGTGGTTATCACCCCCATGACTATGGACGGGGACCCCATGAGAGTTGACTCCTAGGTGCCGAATGCTTGTGGGCTAGGTGCCGAATGGCGCGGTCAGAGATTAGAACGCTCTCGGCTGGGCGCAGGTGCTGGAGAACACCCTGGTGGAACACCGCGGAGGGCCGACGAAGACGCCCGCAAACCTCGAACATCACTCCCGCACTCCCCCCGAACCTACTCCCCCCCAAACTTCCCTCGTCCTCCGCTGCACTCCGTGGCCCTCCCCCTCCTGCTCGCTATCGCTCGGACGCCCATTCCTCGTGCATTCTTCGGTTTCGTGCGTGCTGTTTGTCGCCAAGTCATCCAGGATGCTCCTCCGCGGTCCTCGCCGAGGAAAACATGCACACGTCCGAGCGATGCCAAGTCTTCTCTTGCAGCCGACGCCCTGCGGCGAGCGCCTCGAGCGCTCGTGCACGGACGGCTTCGCGAGAAAGAGAGGCTGCCAGGGAGCGGCGGCACCGGGCGGACGCCCGCGCCCGCCCCAGCAGCTCTCGCTGCGCCCCGGGCGAAGGACCTTCCTGAGCCTCGGGCGAGCCCTCCGAGCCAGACGAGGCCGAGACCGAGGCCGAGGCCGACGACGGACTGCGTCGGGGCTGGGAGAGAGGCCGCCGCAGCCTCGGCCACCAACTGGTCGCTCCCTGGCGCAGCCTTCGGCCAACTGGGAACCCAACGAGGGGCCCCTCTGGGCCTCCCTCGAGATCAGGCGTGGCGAAAGGACTGCAGCGCCGCGAGGAATCCCGACCGGAGCCCCAGAGCCCACCGTTATGCTGCACTCTGCGGGCCGGGTCCGTCCGTGAGGGTCTCCCGGGTGAAGGGGGCCCTGGGACACACACACACACACACACACACACACACACACACACACAAATGACCAGATGCCCCACCTCTGCCCACATGCTTGGGGCTTTTGCCTCCCCCCGGGGGGCACAACAGCCCAGCTTCCTTTGGGGAGGAGGAGGAGGAAGAGGGGGAGGAGGAGGAGGAGGAGGAGGAGGAGGAGGCGGAGGAGGAGGAGGAGGAGGAGGGAGGAGGAGGAGGAGGAGGAGGAAGAAGAGGAGGAGGAGCAGGAGCAGGAGGAGGAGGAGGAGGAGGAGGAGGAGGAGGAGGAGGAGGGGGATCGACGACTCACTGTGCCCGTGTGCTTTTTTCCCTCCCGGCCAGGGCCCGGCGCCGGGCGGCGGCGCCCTGGCGGCGCCCAGAGCTCGGGGCCTGCTCGCCCCCACGAAGAGCTCGTCCGTCGTTCGGCGCGCAGGGCCCAGCCCCCCCCCCCCCCCCCCCCCCCCGCCCCCCCCCCCGCGAGGGGCCGTTCTCCACGCCGGCCGTGGTGCTGCCCTGCAGATTCTCGAGGACCTCCTGCTCGATGGAGATGATCTCCTGCCGGGCCACCCCCTCGTCCTCCTGTTCCTTCCTGTCCTCCTCCGCCTTCTCCTTCGCCTCCTCCTCCTCCTCCTCCTCCTTTCTCTCCTCCTCCTCCACCTCCTCCTCCTCCTCCTCGTCCTCGTCCTCGTCCTCGTCCTTCTCTTTCTCTCCTCCTCCTCCTGCTCCTCTGCTCCTCCCCCCCTCCTCCTCCTCCTCATCTCCCTCCTCCTCCTCCACGCTCCTCTCCTTCCCCTCTCCTGCTCGACAAGAGGGGGTGAGGGAGGGAGGGCTTCAGGAGATTCCAATAGTTATTGAGGTTCTGCATCGCTCTTCCTTTACTCCTCCTCCTCCTCCTCCCTCCCCCCTCCTCCTCCTCCTCCTCTCGTCCTCCTCCTCCCTCCTCCTCAGTCTCCCCCTCCTCCTCCTCCTCCTCCTCCTCCTCCGCCTCCTCCTCCTCCTCCTCCTCCTCCTCCTCCTCCTCCTCCTCCTCCCCCTCTTCCTCCTCCTTCTCCTCCTCCTCCTCCTCCTCCTCCTCCTCCTCCCGTTCCTCCCTTTCCTTCTCCTCCTCTCTTCTCTCACTCCCCCGCAACGTCCCGATCCTTAAAACTCAAGGTTTTGGAAACCAGCGTATACGCTTATTGCGTCGTTCTGGATCGCCATCCTGTCGGAGGTGGTCTAGGGCGCCTCCTCTTCAAACCCCCGTTGTCCCAATCTGGCAGGGGTTTGGTCGCTGCTCCTCATCTGTACCTCAATGCCACCAGCCTTTTGGGCTAAGGTGGCCTAGCGATCTCCTCCTTTCCTCCTCCAAAAACCTGTTCCTTTACGTTCCTTTACGGGAAGATCCCTCCCCCTGCCTGGAGTGGAGGGGGGCGCGATCGGTCAGAGCGCCCAGCATGGCTCCAAGAGGGCCTCCGATGCTCCAAGATGGCCTCCAAGATGGCTTCGAAAAGCTCGCAATGGTTGAGTATAGCTTCCAACATACCTCCAAGAGGCCCGACGAGAGCCACAAGACGGTTCCAAGTGCTCTCGGAGCCCCCTCAGGACACCTCAAGAACCCTAAATCCTTCATCAATGATGTTTGCCTTCTCGCCGTTTCGCTTCTAGTGCGAGCTTGAGGCCTCTGGATGGCCAAAGAGAAAACACAAGAGGCCCCCATTCGGCCCGAAGAGCGTCCAAGAACTGCCCAAGAGCGTCCCAAGAGAGCCCCAAGCGGCGGTTTTAGTGGCCCCAGATGGGGGGAGGCCAATTTAGGAACCCTCCTTGTGATCCCCATTTTGATCGATGGCCTCCAAGATAGCCCCACGAGAGTCTCCAGGCTCCTGGACCCCAAGAGGAGGGAGCCCCAAGACCCCCCAGAAGGGCTCGAAGAGGGCCCCAAGATCCCCCCAAAGAGTCCCAAGCTGGCTCCAAGAGGCGATTCGAGAGCTGCCGTCCTCGTCCTGGGAAAGCGTCAGGGAACGTGCCAAAGGGCGTCCCTGTGACCCAGAACCAGGATCCCTGGTAAGTTACACTGCGTCCGCGCTCACAGGTCCACGATCCACTGTAGATTACGCTGCGTCCGTGCTCCCACGGCTACGATCCCTCACACATTACGCTGCGTACGCTTTCCCTGGGCCACGATCCCTCGCAAACTACGCTGCTTCCGCGCTCCCAGGACCGCGCTCACTTGTGAATTACACCGTGTCCACGCTCCCGAGGCCACGTTGCCCGGCAAACTGCACTCTGTCCGTCCCCCCAGGGACGCTGCGTCCGCGGCGCTCCCAGGGCTGCGCTCCAGTGTAAATTGCGCTGCCCAGGGCTACGATCCCTCGTAAATTACACTGCGTCCGCTCTCCCTGGGCCACGCGGTCGGGGCTCCAGACCCCGTTATTTTTGAGGATTCTGCGAAAAACGCTCCGCACCGTTTTTTTACAAGGGAAAACGGGGGTCTGCGGACACCGTTTTTTATCGAGGATCCGAGATGGGGGGCGCACTTTCCTCGAGCGGGCACGCGCGAAACGCACTTTTTCGACTGAAAATCAACACTTTACCTCGTTATTTACGCAGAATAATTCCGCCGGTGACGGGCACATGCAATGCGGAGTGTATTGATCTTGATGCACCGTGCCAAGGGACGTGCTGCGCTGCGCCGTGCTGAATTGCGATGTGCCATGCCGCGACTGTGCTCTATAGCATTGTGGATCGAGTCTTCCTTTGCATCCGAGTCCTGACCGAACTGATCTGGATCTTAAGCTCGAGCTGCCTGAACACATAGTAGCTGCCCCAGAGCTAATTGACAGGGAAATATGCCAGGAGGACGCGCCGCAGAACGTCTCAAGGGACGCGCCAAGCGACGTGCCAGGGGACGTGCCATGGGGACGCACCGCGGGACGTGCCAAGGGGACGCGCTACGGAACGTGCTGGGGACAAGCGTTTGGCTCGAGACATCCTGTCAAAATCCTCATGCTAGACATCCGCCTGAGCGACCTGGACACTTGAAAACAAGCGTTTCGCTCAACATATCCTCAACACATTCTCATGCTAGACATCCGCCTGGGCGAACTGGACACGTGAAAACAAGTGGTTCGCTCGAGACATCCTCAACACATCTTCATGTGAGACGTCCGCCTGGGTGACCTGGGCACGTGAAAACAAGCGTTTCGCTCGAAAAGTGTTCAACACCTCCTCATTCTAGACATCCGCCTGGGCGACCTGCACACGTGAAAGCAAACGTCTGGCTCGAGACATCCTCAACACATCTTCATGTTAGACATCCGCCTGGGCGACCTGGACACGTGAAAAAAAGCATATCCCTCAAGACATTCTCAACACATCCTCATGCCAGGCATCCGCCTGGGCAACCTGGACACGTGCAAACAAGCATCTCGATCGAGACTTCGTCAACACATCCTCATGCTAGACATCCGCCTGGGCGACGAGAACGCGTGAAACCAAGCGTCTCGCTCGAGACATCCTCAACAAATCCTGGCGCTTGACCTCTGCCTGGGCAACCTGGAGGCGTGAAACCAAGCGTCTCGCTCGAGACATCCTCAAGACCTGGGCACGTGAAAACAAGCATTTCACTTCAGAGATCCTCTGAAATCTGGTCCCCAGGAGAGGACAATCTATAACACAAATCAAGCGTTCCGTTCGAGACATCCTCAAGAAACTCTGAAAAACAAGCGTTTCGCCTGAGACCTCCTCAAATTTTAATCCGCCGGCCCACCTCGACCTCGATATTTATAAAGGAAAGAATCCGCCAGGCCACCTCAGTTGAGGCACCGGGGACAAGTTTACCAACTAAAAGAGAACCCTGGGCCGGCGCCCTTTTCCGGGAAAAAACAAGCGAATTAGATAAGACATCCTCGAATTTCCTGCGCGCGGGACGCGGCACGCGCGAGACATCCTTGGAATTCCTGCGCGCGCGGCGCTTTTCCGCGTCGCGGTCGGGGCTCCAGACCTGGGTTTTTGTTCGAAGATTCCACTAAAAGTGCCCCGCACCCTCTTTTTTACAAAGGGAAACGGTAACCCCGTTATTTATCGAGGATCCGAGATGGGGGGTCGACTTTCCTCGAGCGGGCACGCGCGAAACGTATTTTCTTCACGCCGAATTGGATTTTGCATTATTTCTTAATGAAAAATAATTAGCCGGCCCTCTTCCGGGGGGGAATAAACTTACAAAAAAACCCTGGGCCCAAGCCCTTTCCGGGAACCTACTAAAAGACAACCCTGGGCCCAAGCCCTTTCCGGGAAAAAGCGTTTCCCGAACACATATCCCAATACAGAAAAAGGGCCTCATGGGGCCTCCTGGGGGCGGGGGGGGCGAAAAGCGCCCCCCGAACAGGCATCCCATTACAAAACAATGGGCCCCCCTGGGGCGTTCGGAGCCCATGTGTTTTTGCGCTTCTCCCGCCCTGGGGCGTTAGGAACCCATGTGTTTTCATGCTTGTTCCGCCCTGGGGCGTTGGGAACCATACGTTTTCACGCTTCTCCCGCCCTGGGGCGTTAGGAACCCATGCGTTTTCACGTATATCCCGCCCTGGGGCGTTCGGAGCCCATGCGTTTTCGCGCTTCTCCCGGCCCGGGGCGTTGGGAACCTGCGTGTTTTCGCCCTTCTCCCGCCCTGGGGCGTTAGGAACCCATGCGGTTTCATCCTTCTCGAGCCTCCTGGAGGAGGAGGAGGAGGAGGAGGAGGAGGAGCAGCAGAAGGAGGAGGAGCAGCAGAAGGAGGAGGAGGAACAGAAGGAGGAGCAGAAGGAGGAGGAGGAGGAGCAGGAGGAGAAGGAACAGGACGAGGAGCAGGGGGAGGAGGAGCAGAGCCTCCTGGGGGGCGGGGAGAAGCGAAGAGCGCTCCCCGAATACAGATACCAATGCAACACATACGTAAAACAACCGCTTCACCTGAGACCTCCTTTGATTTCTCGCCCCCAGGAGAGAAACAGTGTATAACACAGAACGTTTCGCTCGAGACATCCTCAACACATTCTGAAAAACAGGCGTTTCGTTCGGGACATCCTCAAACATAAAACAACACATAACACACAAATCGAACGTTTCGCTCGAGGCATCCTCAGACATAATTCCGCAAGTCCTCTTCCCGCCTCGTTATTTATCGCAAATAATTCCGCTGGCCCTCGTCCCGTCGGGTCCGGGAAACAGCTAAAAGAGAACCCTGGGCCCGCGCCCTTTCAGGGAAAATTTGCAAGAGCTTCACGGATTGAGGGCGACCCGTTTTCCAGATGAGGCTCTCGCCTTAGCGCCGCGCGCATTCGTTGTTTAAAGTTACAAGGGTTTCACGGATTGAGGGCGACCCGCTTTCAAAATGTGGCCCTCGCGTTGACGCCGCGCACATTCGTTTTAAACATGTGCAAGAGTTTCGCGGATTGAGGGCGGTTCCTTTTCAAACTGTGGCTCTCGCCTTAGCGCCGCGCACATTCGCTTCTAAGAACTACGAAAGTTTAACGGATTCCCATGATCAACAGACCAGAAATTACGTTTTGGGCAGGTTCAAGATCACACGGGTGCAACAGTTACGTTGATTCGCGGTGTTGGAATCCCAAGAATGGCGTTCTGGCACGACTCAGGAGACACAGCAGACAGGTTGATCCGTGGCGTTGGAATCCCGAGAACAATGTTTTGGCGTGCTTCAGGGTCTTCAAACGGTTGTCTTCCAACGTGGAGTTCCTGTAACGAAGGAGCTTGGAGGGAGGGCTTATTCCAACATCGCTGATGACTCTTGGGTTTACACTGGTCCTCCTCCTTCTCCTCTTCCTCGTTGTCCTCCTCCTTCTTCTCCTCCTCCTCCTTCCCCTCCTCCTCCTCATTTTACCTCTCCTGCCCCTCCTCCCCTTGGAAGCGCTCTCCTGCTGGACAACGCTCCGGTACTGCTCAGCCTGAGGTAAGCCGCTGCGCGCCGCCGCAAGTCGCAAAGGGAGGTGAGTGAGTGCCGTGGCGACGCTTGAGGGTCTGGACCATATGAGCACCCCTGATATGGTGGCGACGCTTGAGGGGGGGGAGGAGGAGGAGGAGGAGGAGGAGGAGGAGGAGGAGGAGGAGGAGGAGGCGGAGGAGAAAAGAAGGATGAGGAGGAGGTGAAGGAGAAAAAGAGGAGGAGGAGAAGGAGGTAGAGGAAGAGGAAAAAGAGGAGTGAGCCGACACTACCAGCATCCTTGTTCTTGCCGCCCCGCTAGGGCCCACGTCTGTATCCACGGCCACCAGATCCAGGAGCCGCGCCTGGTACGGGCGGCTCCGACGCGAGAGAGCCAGGCTTTGACGATGTTGAGGAGGAGGAGGAGGAGGAGGAGGAGGAGGAGGAGGAGGAGGAGGAGGGGGAAGGGGAGGAGGAGGTACGAAATAAGGAAGAGGCGGTCGGCCTCCGCCGCTCCGGGCGCCGCCTCCCAGAGGCAGGCCCGCCCGCGGGCGGCACCCGGCCTCGCGCTCTCGGAAGGCCGCCTGTCGGGCACGGCTGGCTGCCCCTGCAGCCAGCCGGTAACACACGGGGCTTGCCCGGTAGAGGAAGATCCCCCACATGGGACGCACATGGACATACTAGTACTATATGTCCTCCTTGGAGGCGCGCGTCCGACCCGAACATATAGTATACCCATCTTGTAGTATATCGTTTCCCGAGCGGTGTGGCCAGAAAGCGCCCGCCACGACGCATATACTATAAGATTTCTCGGTGCGCGCGTCGCCCTGGGGGGGGGCGACGCACATATAGTATAAGTATGTTGGGGTGTTGCCGACCCACATGCCAGAGCAAACGCAAGTGGCCCCTCCGTGACTCGAAAGCTGGGAGAGGGCGGCTGAAACCGTGGCTGCGAAAGCGGCCCTCTCGGAAGGAAAAGACAACTTCCCGGAATGGGGCGCGGCACGCGAAACAGTCGACGGGCTTCTTCCCGGAAGGACGAAGACAACTTCCCAGAGGCCGACTTTAGCAGCCACTGATTTTGCAGCCCTTGCCCGGCTTCCGAGTGACCACGTGGCGGCCACGGGTGAGCTCCAGCGACGCGTCGGCACCACCAAACGCAATCGGCGCCTGGGCCTCGGCTACGGGGCCGTGTGCCCGGAAGGCGCCGGGCCGCCCCCCGGGCACGGCTCCCCCGACGCGGCCCCCCCTTGGGCCGGCGGGCGGCGCGCCCGACGGAGAGGGCTCAGCCGCGAGCGCGTCTGCTTCCGATCACGCCCGTCTTCACACCGAGCGGCATGCACTGCGCTCAGGCTTGTGTGATCACGTGACTTGATCGCGCGCTCTTCGAGGTCGTGTTGCAGAGAGCGCTCAGGCGCAGCGCCCTCCACGAATTAGGCAGTGTCAGGGCAGCCTGGAAAGGAGGAGGAAGAGGAGGAGGAGGAGGAGGAGGAGGAGGAGGAAGCGGCAGGAGCGGTCAACATCGAATCGATCTATCGGATCGGGTCGGAACGTGCACCGAATCGGGCCGCATCGGCAGGGCGCCGGAATCGAACATCATTGGCGGAGCCAAGATGCACAGCAGCACCCTGCAAACATTGGGCCGCATCGGAGCATCGGAATCAAATCGGATCGGGCCAGCAGCAACCGATATCGAATCGGATCGATTAGACCGTCGGAGAAAACCCCTGGGTGGAGGACGAAGAGGAGGCCAAGACCTCTGGCCTCTTGAAAACAAAACGTGAAGACGGACGTGTTTCGCTGTGCGCGGGCTCTGGGGCAGTGTTTCCAAGGGCCGTCAACAAGTGGGCGTCGTAAACATGATCGACCCACGAACCCAGAAAGTGATTTTGAGCTGCAAGGAAGCAGCTGAGTTGGGCGATGGGATAGTGGCAGTGCCAGAGGTATCGACGAAGATGATGATGATGATGATGATGATGATGATGATGATGATGATGATGATGATGATGATGATGGTGGCGATATTGGTAATGATGATGAGGACGATGATGATGATGATGATGATGATGATGATGATGATGATGATGATGATGATGATGATGATGATAAGGATGATGATGCTGATGCTGCTGATGATGCTGTTGCTTATGATGATGATGATGATGATGATGATGATGATGATGATGATGCTGATGCTGCTGCTGCTGCTGCTGCTGCTGATGCTGATGCTGATGCTGATGCTGCTGCTGCTGCTGATGCTGATGCTGCTGCTGCTGCTGCTGATGATGATGATGATGATGATGATGATGATGATGATGATGATGATGATGATGATGATGAGATTGTGCCAGGGGCCGTGTTGTGCTGCGCTGCGTTTTGCCGTGCCGCACAGTGACGTGCCAGGGGGGCGCGCTAGGGGACGTCCAGGGGGCGCACCGTGGGACATGCCACGGGGACGCACCGCAGAACGTCCCAAAGGACGCGCCAGGGGACGTGCCATGGGACGCACCGCGGGATGTGCCAAAGGGACGCGTCACGGAACGGGCCAGTGGACGTGCCAAGGGACGCGTCACGGAATGCGCGAGGGGGACGCGTCACGGAACGTGCCAGAGAACGGATTCGAGCCACCCCTGGGGCCTCCTGGGCCCTCCTGGGAAGCTCCTGGGGCGCCCTGGGACTTCTCCTGGAGCCTCCTGGGGGCCTCTTGGTGATTCCTGGTGTATCCTGGAGTCTCCTGGGGCCTCACCGCACGAGATATACCACGAGACACCCCACGAGGAGCCTCTTGGTGTTTTCTGGGGGCCCCTGGGCCCTCCTGGGCTTTTCCTGGGCCCTCCTGGACAGCATCGGCGGCGCTCTTCGGCGGCATCTTCGAAGCCTCTTGGGGCGTCCTGGGGGCCCCCGGGACAATTTAAACGCATCGTGCGTCAACGGAAACCCCTGGACGTCGTCTTGCGGGTGTCTCGAGACCGCCTGGGTGGGGCCGCCGGGATTGCTGTCTGAGGGCTCCCCGGGGCGATTTTAAGCCTCCCAGAGGCGGGCCCAGGCCCCGGGCCCCACATTTGTGGTCGGGGTCCCGGCCCCCGGCCCCCAGACTCGGTCCCCCGTTATATGTATGTATGCGTAAAAACGGACGGATTCGTGCCCCTGGAGAGACGCAATCTATAAGTAATGTGAAACCATGTATAGGAATATACCTAAGACACGTAAAAACACACGGAATCGTGCCCCTGGAGAGGGCCAATCAATGGGAACAAACGTCATCCTGGAGATGGCCAATATGTATATATATATATATATATATATGTATATATATATATATATATATATATATATATAAATGCAAAAACGCACGAATTCGCGTCCCTGGAGAATGCCAATCTGTAGGTAATGATGGACCCATCTATAGGAACAGACGCTAAAACACACGCATGCGTGCCCCAGGATGGGGCCAATCTATGGGAACACACGTATTCCTGGAGAGGGTAAATATATAGGAATGTAAGCGAAAACATACGTATTCGTGCCCCTGGAGAGAGCCAGCCTATAGGTAACGAGAGGGCCCATCTATAGGAACATACGTAAGACACACACAGATACGTACCCGTGATGGGGCCAATCTACAGGCATTACGTAATCCATGCCCCTGACCAGAACGTGTCTCGCACCCAGTGATTTAGCAATCGCGATTTCAAAAACCAGCGCCTCGCGAGGGAAATCCTCTAATTTTAATTCGCCGGCCACCCTCGACCTCGATATTTATCGCACAAGAAATTTGCCTGCCCACCTCAAGTGAAACCCGGAGGTAGACCAACTAACAGAAAACCCTGGGCGTATGCCCTTTCCGGGGAAAATCAAACCACAAGAGACTCTTGGGGGCCTCCTGGGGCCTCCTGGGCCTCTTGGTGCCTCCTGGGGCCTCTTGGGGCCTCTTGGGGCCTCCTGGGGCCTCCTGGGGCCTCTTGGGGCCTCCTGGGGCCTCTTGGGGCCCCCGGGGGCCACTGGAAAAGGCAAATCTAAAGGCACATGCGTGCAAAACACAGAGTCGCGCCACTGGAAAGGGCAAATTTATAGGCACACGCGTCAAAATACACGGATTCGTGTCCCTGGAAAGGGCAAATCCAAGATAGATTCGCGCCCCTTGTGAAAGGCACATACATAAAAACACACGGCCTTGTGTCCGTGAGGAGGGCCTGGGCACGTGAAAGCACGTGGTTCCAGCTCGGGGCCACAATGTTGCATACCCCCTTTTTTGGGTGGCTGTACACGTAAAAACACATGGCTCCAGCTCGATATCACCATGTTAGATACTCCCCCTTGCGTGGCCTGGACGTGTAAAAACACGTGGCTTCAGCTCGGGACCACAATGTTAGATACACTCCCGGATGGCCTGGACGCGTGAAAACACATGGTTCCAGCTCGGGGCAACCATGTTAGATGCCCCCTCTGGGTGGCCTGGACACATAAAAACACTGGTTCCAGCTTGGGACCACCATGCTAGGCTGCCAGCCCGCCCGCTCGTCCAGGCGCAGCCTATCGCGCGGCAGCTGCGCCAACCGGGCGTGCACCTGGCGGTCAGCCTCGGACAGCTGGAACAGGAAGCGTTGCGAACGCCAGCGCATCAGCCAAGCCACCTGGACCATCGACTGGTCGTCCTCCAAGGTTAGCGCCGTCATTCGCGCAGCGCGGCCATGCACGTCCAGGCGCCCGCCGTCCTCGAACCGGACCGCCCGGGCCGCCCGGGGCCTTGGCGGCGAGCGCGGTCGCCAGCAGGTCCTTCAACTGCCACATCATGTGGAAGTCCTTGATGTTCTTCAAGCACTCAGTCGTCATCCAGCCCCGCGGGCCTGGGAACAAGGCCCGGAAGGCGCTCTGCTCCGCGGCCGCGAACTCCAGCGGCACCGCGTCGAGCTGAGCCACCAAGAGGAGGACCGATGCCACGAAGATGTCGTAGGCGCGCGCCGCGAGGAAGGCCCCGGCACCAATGTGTTTCCAAATGCGCGCCCTCGCTGCGTACTTGGCTACAGGGGCGCCCCACGTGCGACGCCCGCGGTCAGGGCCGAGGTAGAATCCCAAGTACTTGGCGTATCCGGCCACCCCCAGGCTGCCCCACTGCGGCACCGTCGTCGCAAGCTCCCGCCTGAAGTCGAGTTCGTTGAATGGGTCGAGGGGGACCAGCGCAGTCTTTGGGGCGTCGAGGCCCAGCCTGAACATCCGGCCGAAATCAGCGAAGAGTGCCTGCAGCGCGGGGAGCCCTCGGCAGCACCATGGCCAGGTCGTCGGCGTAAGCGCGGAGCGTGGCGTCGGGAAAGAGGCGGGCGATCCTGCGCAGGTAAAGGTCGGATGAAGCCGCGAACAGCAACAATGATAAAGGGCATCCATGGCGAATGCCCCTTGCGATCCTCATGCCAGCGTGTACCGATCCACCCATCGCTATCTGGCAGAAGTTGTGCCAGCACAAGCTGCCGATGAAATTGAAAAGCCACGCTGGCCACCCGAGATGGCGACGAAACATGAAAAAGCCCGTGCTCGATCGAACGCAGCGGATCTCCAGGGCAAGAAGCCCCGTTGACAGCCCGTGATGCGCCGTTCGACGCTTGGCTCAATCGCGATCCAGACCGCACTCGATATGAGGCAATTGTCCGTGTTTGTGATGTTCAGCGGTCGCACGCCGCCGGGGGCGAACGACTCGACGCCCTCTTCGTTCCTATCCGCGGCCGCCTTCGGCAAGAAGATGAGCAGGCTCACATTGAAGTCCGCAAGGTCCCTCTGCAGAAGATGATGGGCGTCGTCGCGGCAGCTTCCAACGCCCCATGCAAAACGTCCACAGGACATGTCAACGTTTCACACATCTCTCCAGCGGGAGCTGAAATTCCAAGATGATAAGTCTGACCATAACTAGTTGGAACTATCAGTTCTCAGAGAACATCTCAGGCGAAACGTCCATTTATCTGAATAGTCGAGCGACTTCGCTATTGATTTTAGCACAACGGTATCCATGTTCTTGGAGGGAGTCCCCTGTGAAAGGCCCACGATGATGATTATGCTAACGAGAATTGTAATGATGCTGATCAGGATGATGCTGCTGATGACGATGATGATGGTCAGGATGTTGATAATCATGATGATGACGATGCTGATGATGATGACGATGATGATGCTGATGATGATGCTGATGATGATGTTGAGGATGAGGATGATGATGCTGATGATGATGTTGATGCTTATGATGTTGATGATGATGCTGATGATGATGGTGATGGTGATGGTGATGGTGATGGTGATGATGATGATGATGATGATGATGATGATGATGATGATGATGATGATGATGATGATGATGATGATGAGAGGTCGATTGGGGCGTTCTTAAGAGCTTCGGGGGGGGCTCAGGAACGTCTTTTGGGGCTGAGGACGGTGCCAATACGATGTTGTTTTAGAGTTCACCGCGAAATCGATTTTGTTCGGAGGACGCCTCGAGCGGTACGGCCGGTTTGGCTGGTTCAGCGTCCTCTCTGAAATCCATTATTTGAAAATGTCGCTGTCGAAACGGCTATTTTGCGACTGATTCCAGCATCTCCCTTGTTCCCCACATCCTGAGTGGGGTGTTTGCTTTCCTAGAACACCCTCTCCTTCTCCTTCTCCTTCCCCGCCTCCCTACCATACCATACCATACCATACAATACCATACCATACCATACCATACGTACAACACCTACCAGACCTACCATACCAGAATTACCAATACCAAACAAATTCCATACCTACCATACCATACCTACCACATACCATACCACCTACCATACCATACCAATACCACACCTTCCCAAACATACCGCACCATCTACCATACATACCACACCTACAATACCAAAGCTAACATACCATACCAACCACCCCAAGGAAACCATGCCAGAGCGAGGGCAGCATCGGGATACCATACCGTTTGCAGGGTTTCGTGCCCCCCCCAGGGAGGCCCCGCCTGAGCGAGGAGGGTATTCGAACACCATGCTATGTATCAGGTTTTGCGCCCCTCCCACTCCTCCAGGGAGGCCCCGCCTGAGCAAGGATGGTATTCGAAAACCATGCTATGTATCAGGTGTCGTGCCCCTCCCACTCCTCCAGGGAGGCCCCGCCTGAGCGAGGAGGGGATTCGAAAACCATATTATGTATCAGAGTTCGTGTCCCTCCCACTCCTCCAGGAAGGCCCCGCCTGAGCGAGGAAGGTATTCGAAAATCATGCTACTTATCATGTTTCGTGCCCCTCCCGCTCCTCCAGGGAGGCCCCGCCTGAGCGAGGAGGGTATTCGAAAACAATGCTATGTCTAAGGTTTCGTGCCCCTCCCACTCCTCCAGGGAGGCCCCGCCTGAGCGAGGAAAGTATTCGACAGTCATGCTATTTATCATGCTTCGTGCCCCTCACATTCCTCCAGGGAAACCCCGCCTGAGCGAGGAGGGTATTCGCAAACAATGCTATGTCTAAGGCTCCGTGTGTGTCCCTCCCATTCCTCCAGGGAGGCCCCGCCTGAGCGAGGAGGGTATTCGAGAATCATATTATTTATCAGGTTTCGTGCCCCTCCCACTCCTCCAGGGAGGCCCCGCCTCCATTCCCCCCTTGCAAGTCCGCGCCCCACCAAAAAAACAATGTTGGGAGCCCCGTTGGCATTGTTCGAGATTGTCTCGAGCGGGAGTTTTTCATTTCTCAATAAGACGTCTCTGACTACCTAGTTGGCATCTCACTGTTTGGAGGGTGTCCCGGGGCGAAACTGTCATGTCTTGATATTATGACAAGTTCGTGACCGATCTCGACAGGTCAACTTTCTGAGGACCTTTTGAGCGAGAGCCTCATTTTTGAACATCAGACGTCTGATATCAACACCATCAACATCTGAATTGTTCGAATATGTCGCAAGCGAAATGCTCACTTTGGGGTGGAACCTATCTGGACATTACTGGGACGCGCCGCTTCTCCGAGCTTGCTGCACGCCATCACGGATTTGCGCGCAACGCAACATGGGTACACATTGGGTACCCACAGTTCAGCAGCTACCTGCAGCTACACCACACCATGGTAGCAAACGCACTCAGCAGCAAACGTGCCCACATTTCAATTGCCACTGGCAGCGAACGACTCGCATTTCAACCGCGAAAGAGCCACAGCAATCGTACCACCTGTCAACAGCTACCAGCAGCTACACCACACTAAGTATCACACGCAGTCAACAGCAAACGTGCTCATATTTCAATTGCCACAGGCAGCAACGCAACCATATTCTAACGGGCGGCAAACGTACCCACATTTCAACAGCTACCAGCAGCTACACCAAACCATGGTAGCAAACGCACCCAGCAACAAACGTACCCACACTTAAGCATGAAGCCGCAGGAACCGCACTGAGATTGCAACTGCATCCTCCTAATCGTCATCCTCATCTTCATCTTCGTCCTCCTCCTTCTCCTCCTCCCGATCCTCTCCGTCCTCCCCCTCCTCCCCTTCTTCCCCCTCCTCCCCCTCCTCCCCCCCTCTTCCTCCTCCTCCTCCGCCTCCTCCTCCTCTTCCTCCTCCTCCTCCTTCTTATGCTCGCTCCTCCTCTTCCTCATCCTCCTCATCATCCTCCTCATCCTCCTCACTGACACAATATGAATAAGATTCTCATCTCTCCCCTCATGACGTCCAGAAGATGTTCGCCCCCCCCTCCGCGTTCTATTGTCTTACACAAAATATTCCCAAGAGTTGGGTTTTCGCTCGGGCGTTTCCAACATGTTGCTCCCGCTGAAACGCTGGCCTCATTTCCGCGCTTCCCCTCGTTCCAAATCGTGCTCCCGCTGCAGCGCTGGCCTCACTTCCGCGCTTCCCCTCATTCCGAATCGTGCTCCCGCTGCAGCGCTGGCCTCATTTCTGCGCTTCCGCTCGTTCCGAATCGTGCTCCCGCTGCAGCGCTGGCGTCATTATTTCCAGTACCATGCCAGGGCATGCAATGCAATGCTATGTGGTGTTCTGCTGTGCGATGCCTTGCCTTCAGCTGCAATGCTAGGATGTACAGCGCTTGACTACGCAGTGCCACGCCATGCTATGAAATGCTACGCTTTGATCTTCAACGCCATCCTGTGCCATGTTACGTTCTGCGCCGCTGTGCAATGCCATTATTTGCGTTGCAATGCTTTGTGATACAGTTCTTCACTACGCAACGCCACGCCATGCTATGACATACTACGCTCTGCCGTGCTCTTCTACGCCCTGCAATGCCGTGCACTACGATTAATCGCGCACCCTCTCGGGATCATTATCCTGCTCGGCATCCGACTGTGCGAATAGAGAGTATATCTACGCCATGGTAATTGATGGGAGGGAGGGGTAGGACATCAGATATGACGCGAGCGCGCCTAGCTTGTCCCCCCCCCTTCCTCCTCCTCCTCCTCCTCCTCCTCCTCCTCCTCCTCCTCCTCCGCCTCACATCCCCCTCCTCCTCCTCCTGCTCCTCCGCCTCCTCCTGATGAACAGGGGGATTATCACGCGGCGAGGCCGCGAGGCGCAGAAGGCCATGGCGAGGCCGTGGCAACGGAACATTATGCTCCGCTACCAACTAGAAAATTGATGTAAGAGTGTATGTGGAAGGTTTTGAACAACGGAGTGTACAGTCGGGGCGTTGACCTAAGGAACCCCAAATAACGAACGAGGCCCTTTTATCCATAAGTATAACTTTGGCTTCCCGTCGAAAACCGAAGGAAAACCTTAGGCAAACTGTGAATCGATCAAGGAAAACCGAGCCCCTCCCCAACGGGAAGGGTTCCTTCTTAAGCGCCCCGACTGTAAAAGTCAACAGCGTGTTTAACAGCGGGCGAGGTGGAAGCTTCCCATTGTAAATGGCCGCGGAAGCAGGAGAGCAATGGCACAGGCAAGGATGGGGTGGGACAAGTAGGACTACCGTTCGAGTAATAGGAGGAGGAGGAGGATGAGGAAGACAAATAATGGCCTCGTCCTCGAACCTCGATCCTCGCACCACGAACCTCGATCCTCAAGCCTCGAACCTCGAGCATCGGACCTGGATCCTGGATTCTGGATGATCGATATGATCGATCCTCGATCCTCGGGGAGGGGGCCCGGCCTGGACTGTGACGGTCGTGGCCATAGCCGGCGTGGCCGCCGTGGACGTCGGCGGCGAGGAGCAGGACGAGGGAGGACGGGGCAAGAGGGCGAGGAAAGGAGGGAGAGGGCGCGAGGGTGGAGGGCGAGGAGAGAGGAAGGTGGAGGAGAGGACGGAGGAGGGCAATGGAGAGGAGAGGGGGGGAAGGCGTCGACCTCGTCGAACGATGGCCTGAGGGTCAGCCCTGTGCTCAGATCGGCGCCACAAGCCAACCTCTAGCTCTACGAGAGGAGGCGACGGACCAGCAAACCTGAGGAAGAGATCGACGGAGAAGGGCTTGCCAGGCCTCTCTGGCTCGAGATGGCCGGCCCTGGCCCTTCCGAGGCCTGGTGGGGAGCAGGGAGGATGGCACGGGGAGCGCACGGGCGGCACTCCGGGCAGCACGCCGTGCTGCGCGCCGCTCCCGAGCCAGCTCCCCCCTCCTCCCTCCTCCCTCCTCCCTCCTCCCTCCCCCCTCCTCCCTCCCCCCTCCTCCCTCCTCCCTCCTCCCTTCTCCCTCCTCCAGGCCGTGCGGGAGGAGCCGTGCCCTCTGGGCATCGGTGGGGGGGGAGGAAGGGCGGGGCGGGGGGGGAGGGGGCGGGACGGGAGCGGCGAAAGAGGGGTGGGGGAGGACCGGAATCCCAGCCAGGCCCCTCGAGGGCCTGCTCCAACTGAAGGGGCCCTGGGACACACAAATAAATACACACAAATAAAAAGATTCCCCATATTTTCCCATATTTTCTGGGTTTTTGTCTTCCCCCCCACTTCCCATATTTTCCCATATTTTCCTGGGAGTGGACGATTAATTGTGTCTGTGTGTTTTTTTCCCTCCTGACCAACGTGGCCTGTTCCTCGAAGGCCCCTGCGTCCAGAGGCGCTTCTGGGGCGCTGTTGGACGGAGCATCTCTGACCTGAGAGGCGACTCCCTCAAAATCAGAAGAATCATCAAAACGGGCACGCACGGGATCTACTCTGAACATCCGACTGGGCCGAGCGCGAGAAACAACATCTGGCTCAGCCTGGCTCGACCTGATAACGCTCGTAATCCGCGGCATTGAGGGGGAGGGCAGGGAGAAGGGGAGACAAGACGATGCGTGACGGCTCCAAGGGGAGGCCAGATTGCCCGCACGCGACTGGAAAGGAGACAGAGAGGAGGGGGAGGGGAAAAAGGAGGGGGGAGGAGGAGGGGGGAGGAGTGACCAGTGTAAGCACAAGACCCATCATCGATATTGCAACACCCCCTCCCTCCAAGTTCCCTCTTCATAGGCCGCTGTAAGGACTCGTCTTCACTGAAGGGAATGCCCCGTTGGAAGACAACCGGTTAAAAATCCGGAATTGTGCCAGATCGCCACTCTTGGGGCTTCGACGCCGCGAATGACCGTTACTGTTGCGTCTTGAGGATTCTGAATCGTGCCAGAACACCGTTCCTGGGAGTTCAGCACTGGGAACCAACGTAACTGTTGCGCACTGACAATCCGACAGCCTGCCAAAATATCGTTTCTGATAGACAAACAATGAGAATCCTTGAACGTGCTGTAAAATCTCACAACGACTTAAACCGAATGCGAGCGACACTAAGGCGAGATCCACATGTTGCAGAGGAACCGCCCTCCATCGGCGCATGCTTAAGACGAGTGTGCGCGGCGCTAAGGCGAGAGCCACATTTTCAAAGCCACCCGCCCTCCATCCAAGAAGCTCCTGCAACCTGTCCAGACGGACGTGCGCGGCGCTCGCGCGAGAGCCACACTGTGAAGACCACCCGCCAGTCGGCTCGCTACTCTTCTTGCGCCCCGATCTCTCTGCCTGCTTCCTGCCCCGCGGCTGCGCCCTGCATAACATGCGGGCCTGGCCTGGACGCGGATCACCGCGACCTTCTTGATGATTTGCGGGATCAGGGCCAGCTGCTCGACCGCCTCCAGGCGGGCGGCGTCAGCCTCGGGCGCCCCCGGGCTGGAGGGGCGAGGAATACCGAGGAGAGCGAGGATGAGCCCAGCGTGCCCAAGGAGGGCGGGAACGAGGAGGAGGCAGGCGATGACGATGATGGTGATGTTGGTGGTGGTGGTGATGGTGATGATGATGCTAACGAGGTTTGTGGTGAGCATGCTTATTTTGATGATGCTGGTGATGATGCTGATGCTGGCGGTGATGATGATGATTGTGATGGCCAGTGTGATGATAATGGTGATGAGGAGGAGGGTGTGAGAAACTAGGATGACGATGACGACACCTATGAGGGAGGCACTGGTGCTTATGATGATAGTGGCTATTATGAGGGTGGTGTGATGATGAGTGTGAAAAAAGGATGGTGAAGAGGAGGGAGAGATACAGGGTGATGGTGATGCTGGTGATTGTGATGATGGAAGAGGAGGAGGAGAAGGAGGAGGTAGAGGGGGCGAGAGAAACGATTATGGTGATGATGGTGATGATGCTGGCGGTGGTGGGTGATGACGATGATGATGTTGATGATGATGCTGATGTTGATGATTTCGGTGGCGGGTGACGGTGATGAGAATGCGGATGCTGATATGATGCTGCTGCCGACGATGCTGATGATGATTATGGCGATGAGGATGGCGAAGGGAAAGGATATTATGACGAGGAGTGCAATGACGGCCATCTGCACAAATGTATGATTTCGGAGGTCCGCCAGGATTTCTTAGATCGGGGCTGGGTCCCGACGGCGCCGCTGGCGCCGCCCCTGGCGCGCCAGGAAGGACCGTCCGACGCCAGTCCAAGAAATCCGCGGGGATCCCGAACGCCTATGTGTAGTTGTGCCGATTTGTCTTCTTCGGGAGATGGCGAGGATGAGAAGGAGGATGAGGATGATGAGGAGGAGGCGGGAATATCCCAATGAGCGCGGAATGCGGCGCGGCATGGTGCTCAGCCGTGCTCATGGCACCTTTGGCTGCTGCCAGGATTGCGCACCGAAATGCGGGCGTGCGTGGAACCCTCCCTCGCGTATCATACTCGAGGAGGAGGAGGGGGCGGAGGAGGATGAGGAGGACAGAATCGTCGTTGTCGGCGTCGTCATCGGCGTCGGAGTCGTCGACGTCCTCGTCCTCGTCGTTGACTTTGTTGTCGTCGGCGGCGTCGTCGTCGGCTTCGTCGTCGTCGTCGTCGGCTTTGTCGCCGTCGGCTTCGTTGTCGGCGTCGCCGTGGTCGTAGTCGTCGACCGCGGGATCGGATGGGTAGGATGGGGCAGGAGGGTGGGGAATGAGGCGAGGGGAGGAGCGCGAGGGTCGGGGCAAGAGGAAGGCGGGGAGGCCCGTGGGCGAATGTCAATCCCAGGATTTGGCGGACATCGGCCTGTTGTGTATCATCATCATTATTTCAAGGTGGCACGAAAAGTGTCACATTTCGTCGCGATATACGGAGCTGACGGGCCCTTTCCTTCATCAAATTCGCGGTTTCGAAACGACTAGCGGGCGAAACGTCGTGACACGTCTACTTGTACATTGCATTGTCTGGCCCATCGTTCCACATGTGGACTCGGGTCTCAGACAAAATTGGTCCGGGCCCATATGCAGGTGGCAATGGTGTATGGAATGGAGACAACTGCGCTACACTGTAATGCGATGGGTGGCACCGAAGCCAAGTGTAACCGCCAAGTGCGACCAAACGGCTGATCACAATTGGCTGATTGGTTCATTGGCGCAAATGTAGTTGACAACCCGCTATCACATCAAGTGTGCCATGGGAAGGGGTGACGGCTCATGCCGCGGCAGATAAGAGGATGATACTGCCTCTGCGCTCCAAACGGGGGGATACCAATAATTGGTGTTACCTCCTTTCGGCTGACGGTTATTTCCCCACATGCTCAGTGGGGTTCTGCTTTTCTTCCCTGCCGCGTCGCACCCGCGTCTCACCTCACACCTCCCCTCCTCCTCACAGCACTGCTCAGCACAGCTCAGATCAGCTCAGCTCAGCACAGCCTAGCACAGCTCCGCTCAGCTCCGCTCAGCTCAGCTCAGCTCAGCACAGCACAGCACAGCTCACCGCAGCGCAGCACAGCACAGCACAGCACACAGCACAGCACAGCACAGCTCAGCACAGCACAGCACAGCTCAGCTCAGCTCAGCTCAGCACAGCACAGCACAGCACAGCACCGCAGCACCGCACCGCAGCACAGCACAGCACAGCACAACACACAACACAACACAGCACAGCACAGGCGTGGCACAGGCGTGGCACGCATGGCATTTCCTCGACACCACAAGGGGGGGAGCTGTGGGTGGGGACGCTATCCGCTTCGGGCTCGCAAAGCGTGGCAGGCGTGGCACTTCCTCGACACCACAAGGGGGGAGCTGTGGGTGGGGACGCTATCCGTTTCGGGCTCACAAAGCGTGGCAGGCGTGGCACTTCCTCGACACCACAGGGGGGGAGCTGTGGGTGGGGACGCTATCCGTTTCGGGCTCGCAAAGCGTGGCAGGCGTGGCACTTCCTCGACACCACAGGGGGGGAGCTGTGGGTGGGGACGCTATCCGTTTCGGGCTCGCAAAGCGTGGCAGGCGTGGCACTTCCTCGACACCACAGGGGGGAGCTGTGGGTGGGGACGCTATCCGTTTCGGGCTCGCAAAGCGTGGCAGGCGTGGCACTTCCTCGACACCACAGGGGGCGCGCTGGGGGTGGTCTCCCTATCCGGGCTCGCAAAGCGTGGCAGGCGTGGGCTCGACACAGTGTGGCAGGCGTGGCACTTCCTCGGCCCCACAAGCGGTGCGCTGGGGGTGGCCTCCCTGTCCGTGACGGGCTCGCAAAGCGTGGCAGGCGTGGCACTTCCTCGACACCACAGGGGGGGAGCTGTGGGTGGCCTCCCTGTCCGTGACGGGCTCGCAAAGCGTGGCAGGCGTGGCATCTCCTCGACACCACAGGGGGTGCGCTGGGGATGGTCTCCTTATCCGCTGCGAGCTCGCAAAGCGTGGCAGGCGTGGCACTTCCCCGACACCACAGGGGATGCGCTGGGGTTGGTCTCCCTATCCTTGACGGGCTCGCAAAGCGTGGCAAGAGTTGCACTTCATCGACACCACAGGGGGTGCGCTGGGGGGGTATCTTTATCCGTTGCGGGCTCGCAAGCGTGGCAGGCGTGGCACTTCCTCGACACCACAGGGGGGAGCGCTGGGGGTGGTCTCCCTATCCGTTGCGGGCTCGCAAAGCGTGGCAGGCGTGGCACTTCCTCGACACCACAGGGAGTGCGCTGGGGGGGGGGTATCCTTATCCGTTGCGGGCTCGCAAGGCGTGGCAAGCGTGGCACTTCCTCGACACGACAGGGGGTGCGCTGGGGGTGGTCTCCCTATCCGTTGCGGGCTCGCAAAGCGTGGCAAGCAATATGGCGTTGGATGACACATAGGGAACCATTCGCGACGAGGGCTCAGAACGCAGAATTGCGCATATATTGAACACATAAGCACGCACATCATATTTAAATTAAGTATGTGGGGCTCTTCGGTAGCGTAGTTGGTGCTGGCCACGCAATGAATTCCACATTATCAGCGTTACCCGCGCTGTACCCAACACAATATACCGTTCTGTGCATGCCCCGTCACCTCACCACCTTCCTCATCCATCCTTCTCTGCTCGTTCCTTCTTCCTTCTTTCCCTGGACTTCTCCAACCTACTTTTCCCAACTGGCATTTCAGTTCAAACTTATGCGTGTTATTTCCCCCTGAGGTCACCCATATGGTCTGCAATGCGCCTTGGGTTACCCGATCTGCTTGGCCTGCCAAATCTGGCGAATGCCCAGAAAGCCACTGGATTTGCCTAGGATGGCCATCGGGTTAGCCAAGAAAGCCCCAAGACTAGCCCCAGGTAGCCATATAATTGGCCTTGTGAAGCCAATCGACTTGCTCAGGAGAGCCATAGGCCCATAGGGATAGCCTGGGAGGACCATCGCATGAGCCACATGACTCGCTTCGGAAAGCCATGAGAACAAACAATTTCGCGAAACCGCAAAGATGGAAGACAGGGGCCGAGGAGAGATGGCCCAATTCTTTCTTTGCGCAATACAAAGAATGTCGCGCGTGGCGTTTTCGCCTAGCACTCACGGTTTTGCTGCGGCTGCTCAACCAGGCTTGGGAGCCGCTGAAACTTTCCCAAACATGGCGGCCTTGCGAAAGGTATGACGGTCCAAGCGACCGTTCTAGGCATCACATACAAGTGGACGCTGGAAAACAATAATTGAACTTGGCGGTTAGCACTCTCGCGCGGTTGATGACGGCGAAAACTGTAACGTGCAGTACTCCTACGCCTCAGTGCTGCCCTGCCCACCGCAAGCCGCACTCAAGACGCTCGGCAAACCGCACTTCGAGCCTTCCATCTTTGAGGGCTCAGCCCAGCAATCTGGGGCAGACGAGGCTGCGGACTTGGAGGGCGAGAAGAGTCAAGGGCGCGCTAACATGGATCAGCGATCCATGGATCTGGCGCGCGGTCGCCAAAACCATGGATCGGGTGAGGCGCCCCCACCAAGATGCGGCCGGTGCCGCCTCGCTCGGCGGCGGAAATCCGCGATGTTCCCAGGAAACGTGACCCGACGCAAATCCTAGGTCGGGCATGTCCCCCTATAGGCGGATTTTGGGCGAAAAAAAAAGGAACTCAAAAAATGTCCCCCAAATGGGCAACAATAGCTTAAAACAAATCGTCCCCAGACTCTTTTTTTACTGCTTTTGACTATTCCTCCTGTAGAGGGACAGGCCCGACTTAAAGCTAATCCACGCCCCCATTGATCCATGTTTGCGATCCCTCGAAAGTGAAGGGGCCCTGGGACACGCAAAACACACACACACACACACACACACACACACACACACACACACACACACACACACACACACACACACACACACACACACACACAGAAATAACAGGATTCCCAATATTTGCACATAGTTTCTGGTTCTTTGTTTCCCCCCCCACTTCCCATATTTTCCCATATTTTCTCGGGAATCGACGATTGATTATGTCTGTGTGTTTTTTCCCTCCTGCGTGGAGGGAGCAGGAAGGCCCCCTCCCAGCCTGACTCGGGCTGTCTCCAATGCCTCCCTCGCCCAGCCGTGAGACTCTGACGGCACCTTCGTTCACTGCCCGCACCCGGGCGGCCGCCCTCGCCACACTCTAGCAGAAGAGAAAGAGAGAGAGAGAGAGCTATGCACATACAGTCGGGACGTTGACCTAAGGAACCCTAAATAAGAAACGAGGCCCCTTTTTCCCATCAGTTAAAGTTCGAGTTCGCATCGAAAACCTAAGGATAACCTAAGACAAACTGTGGAACAATTAAGGAACACGGAGCCCCTCCCAAACGAAAAGGGTTCCTTCTTCAGCGGCCCGACTGTACATACAGTGGGGGCCCATGCCAAGAAACATGCTGCTTGCCTCCAGGGTGCCCTGTGGGGTCTTGGGTGTCGACGGTTTCGCCATGGAAAGCGTGACGCTCCCACACAAAACATCGGTGGAGGTCCTGGGGTCTCAGGGTTGGTTCTCGTGGAAGGTTTCCCGTGGACTGGCCTCCGCTGTACACCGATCCTGGCCAGGCCCACCCAGAGCCCGGGATCGGTGCAGCCTCCCTGCTGGCTTGACCAGGGAAGCGCACCCTGGGCACCGATCCTGGGCCCAGGATGGGCCTGGGGCAGGGCAGGCGCATGTGCACAGCCCTCCTCGCCCGACTTAGTACCACCGCGGGTCGTCGGCGCTGTTGAACTCCTCGACCAGCGTGAGGACGGCAGCGGCGCCGGCCGCCCTGCTCTCCGCCAGCTCCCTGGGCCTGAGGGTCCGGTTCGCCCGCTCCTCCCAGCGGGCCGCGCGGCCCTCGTCGGCGCAGACAGCCGGCGGCGCGCACGAAGAGGCGAGGCGAGGGCTGCGGCCCTGCAAGACGAGAAGGCGTGGGGGGGGGGGGCTCCTGGGACGTCGGGGGGGCCTCCTCGGGGGCGCTCGACGGGCCTCCAGGGAGGCGTCTCTGGGGCCCCAGGGGGGGAAGGGGGGAGGGGCTCCTGCGAAGGCCCCCGGCCTCTGGGCAGCCCCCCCCCCATGCCTTCCTAAGAGGGTCGTCGCCCTCCTTTCGCCCCATCCCTCGTGCGGGCCGCCAGGATGACGTACTTGTACTCCGCCTGCTCGTCCTGCGCCAGCCGCGCCGGCTCCGCGGCGCGCCACGTGGGGAAGTCCGCCGCGGAGGTGACGAGCAGCATGCCGCTCGGCGGATTCCAGGCGCCGAGCGCCTCGCAGCTGCCAACGACGCGCAAGTGCATCCCCGCCTCTGCGTCTGGGCACCTCACCTCGAAGCTGACGAGCTGGCCCTTCAGCGGTGCCGTGGCGGCGGCGTCGGGCTGGGGAGGCGCATCCGCAGTCGCAGACGGCTGCCGGTCCTGGAGCACCTCCTCCCCAGGTGCGTTTGGGCACCCGGCCACGGGCGCTGAGGTGGCCGCGGCGACGTCGGGCTGGGGAGGCGCATCCGCAGTCGCAGACGGCTGCCGGTCCTGGAGCACCTCCTCCCCAGGTGCGTTTGGGCACCCGGCCACGGGCGCTGAGGTGGCCGCGGCGACGTCGGGCTGGGGAGGCGCATCCGCAGGCGCAGGCGGCTGCCGGTCCTGGAGCACCTCCTCCCCAGGTGCGTCTGGGCACCCGGCCACTGGCGCTAAGGTGGCCGCGGCGACGTCGGGCTGGGGAGGCGCATCCGCAGGCGCAGGCGGCTGCCGGTCCTGGAGCACCTCCTCCCCAGGTGCGTCTGGGCACCCAGCCACGGGCGCTGAGGTGGCCGCGGCGACGTCGGGCTGGGGAGGCGCATCCGCAGGCGCAGGCGGCTGCCGGTCCTGGAGCACTCCGTTCACCTCGAAACTGACTGGCTGGCCCTGTGGCGCTGAGGTGGCCGCGGCGCCGCCAGGCTGGAAGAGGAGGTCAGCGGGCGAAGACGACCGCCCGTTCCCGCGCACCTCGCCACACGCGCTGGTTTGCCCCTCGCATGCGGCGGCCCTGGGAGCCTTGCACGCCTCTGCGCGGGCCGCGGCCGCCGAGTCGACGCCGATGGCCGCGGCTGGCCTGCCCCTTCCGGCCTCGTCTTCCGCCGCGGCCGCATGGCCTGACGGGCCCTCCCGCCCGGGAGGCGCTGCACCAGGCTCCTCCGCAAGGTCGCGCCACGCTGTGGCCGCGCTGCGGCCGCTGCGCCACGTCGCGCCCGGCCCCGCGGCGCTGCGCCCCGCCGCGCGCTCCGCGCTGGCCGCCGCGGCCGCCGTCGTGGGCGCGGCGCGGGCGGCGGAGGCGGCGGGCCCCGCGGGGCCGACAGAGCCGTCGCAGGCGCACAGCAGGAGCCGCAGCGAGGCCTCGGCGGCCACGCAGAGGGCCTCGGAGAGCGCCCACAAGCACCACAGGCCCAGGTGCCGGTGCGGCCGGATGCGCCAGTACATCCCGAGGTACGGGTGTCCCTGCGTCTGCGCCAGCTCCGTCGCGAAGAACAGCGCGGCCAGGTACAGGGACGCCAGCGTGCAGCCGAGCTGGCTCCGCAAAGGGGGCGCCGCCCGGCCCACCAGGTCCTGCGCGGACTTCACCCCTGGCGCCAGGCTGGCGCCCCACGGCCACTCCAACACAAGCCCCTCGGGCACGACCATGAAGGCGACCTGGGGAAACAAAAGGGTACCGATTCGCTCCTCCCCGGATCTCTCCTGGTGTGCGTTCTGACCAGGATCTCGAAGCGACTCCAGCCGTAGCGATGAGGGCCCCACAGGAGGCCCAACGAGGCGAAAACAAGGGAATGGCAGCGGTAGCGGTACCTTTTTCCCTCGGACGACCGCCAGCGCCAGCAGCGAGTGCAGAGCGGACGCCGTGCCGCCCAGGACGACGGGGCATGGGAAGGCCTGGCCGAGGGGGCCCACCAGCGCCTCATCACAGCAGAGCCGCGCGTCCTGGGCGAACAGAGCGGCGCCCCATATGGCGAGCAGCGCCCTCCAGCTCTGCACGGCCTCCACGGCCACGTCCCCGAACGGCGCCGTCTTGGGCGGCGAACGCCCGGAGGCAGGCCCCGCCAGGGGCCTGCCGAGGGTCCTTCCGAGAGTTGCCCCGCGCGAAGGCGATGGGGAGGCCTCCTCCCGGCGCCGTGCCGTCAGGGGCGGTCCCCGCGACGCGCGGCGCCGCTCAGCCTGGACGGGCGGCGGGGTGGATGGCTCGGCTGCATGGGCTTCGAGAGGGCGAGGGGCGATACGGCCGCGGAGCAGGGCGAGGATGATGATGGCGCGGGCAGAAGGAGGAGGATAAGGAGGAGGATAAGGAGGAGGAGGAGGAGGAGGAGGAGGAGGAGGAGGAGGAGGAGGAGAGGGATAGGAGGAGTGGAGGAGGAGGAGGAGGAGGAGGAGGAGGAGGAGGAGGAGGAGGATAAGGAGGAGGAGGAGGAGGAGGAGGAGGAGGAGGAGGAGGAGGATAAGGAGGAGGAGGAGGAGGAGGAGGAGGAGGAGCAGCAGCAGCAGCAGCAGCAGCAGCAGCAGCAGCTTTGGAGCAGTTTTTTTATGTGTGGGGGGCACGCGTCGCGCCCCCCCACCCGCCAGCCGAGCGCTCACGCGCGCCCGAGCCGCGCGCGGCGCGCGGCCGTCCCGCGCCCCCGCGCAGCCGCGGCAGCCTCCTACCGCGCGCGGCGGCGGCCACCAGCGCCGCCTCCTCTCTCCTGCTCTGGCGTGCTGCGCCGAGCCTGGGGCCTGCCTTGCAGCAGGAGGCGGACGGCAGCCCGTCGAGCTCTGCACGCTGCGTGCGAGCTTTCTTGGCCTCCTGTTGCCCCTCGTCCTGCAGGCGACTGCGGTGCTGCGAGGGCCTCCGCGCGCGCGCCATCTGCAGCCGCGCCCTCGCCAAACTCCAGCGCCCTCGCCTCTCAAGCCACGTTGACCTGGGCCGCCAGGCTGGCGCGCCAGTCCGCGCGGGCGGTGGCGGCCACGCAGGCTGGCCGCTGGGGCTGATCATGCATCCTGTCTGCGGCGCTGCTACGTATGTCTGCCTCCTGGCCCGCTGCTCCTCGAAGGCCTCGCATGGCCGCGGCTGCCAGGCGCCGGGCTTGCTCGGCGCGCAGGCGGGCCCTGTCCCCCTGGAGCTTCATGCCGACGCCCACGTCGCTCAGTCCAGCTGTCGGGCCAATGGTAGCGGGTTGTGGCTAGCCTGCAGGGCCCCCTCCAGCCATCCTGGCCACCTTGCTGTCGTTGGCCGCGCTTTTGCCCCTGGTGGCGCGCTTGCGACCAGTGGCCTGCTGCGATGCTGGCGGGGCCCCTCTACGGACGCTCCGACCGCTGCCGCTCCCAGCGCGGCGCCCATGGCGAGCACGGCCGCGCCGCCTTTGGCCCCGCTATGCTCGGGTCCACGTTATCCTCCTCCCCCTCCTCCTCCTCATCATCATCACCATCACCATCACCATCACCATCACCATCACCATCACCATCATCATCATCATCATCATCATCATCATCATCATCATCATCATCATCATCATCATCATCATCATCATCATCATCATCATCATCATCATCATCATCATCATCATCATCATCATCATCATCATCACACCACCACCACCACCACCACCACCACCACCATCATCATCATCATCATCATCATCATCATCATCATCATCATCATCATCATCATCATCATCATCATCATCATCATCATCATCATCATGGAGGGCCGTGAATGCGTTCGGGGTCCGTGGTGGCGGCCTGCTGTGGTTCCACTGGCTGCTCCACTGGGTGCCCGTCATCGGCCTGTTCAGTGTGGCCCGCACCATGGTCTGCTGCAGGCGGGTCGCTCTGGCTGCCGACCTGCCTTGAGTGCTCGTTGGGGGTGTCCGTCAGCAGCTGCTCGAGATCTTGGGCGTCGTCTCGGAGCGAGCTGACTCTACTTTCGAAGTGGTGGATCGCATCTGCGACTCCAGGCCTGACTCTCCTCCTGCCAGCGCTGCTATCTGCTGCGGGATCTCCACTTATCTCCAGTGGGGCTCTCCGTTGACGATCGCGATGGTCAGGGCGATAATGGGCTGGTTGGATGCTCCGCTTCGCACTTTTCGGCTCCTCCAGTTCCGTGAACTCCTTCTTCTGCTCCATCTGCATCAGCCTCGCCTCGTGGGTCGCCCGTTTCGCTGGAATTGTCCTGGTAGAAGCTGTCACCCTCCGCGTCTGGATGGGCCCCGTCCGTTTGCCGGGGAGGGAGCCCGTTGCCGTCGGCTTCGCCGTGCGGCTCGCCTTCGACCACTTCAGCGCTGTCAATTGGTCTGTCGCCTGGGCCTCTGGCAGATCCTGGCCAGTCCCTCCTCGGCGATCTCGACCTGCGTGGCATTGGCCGTGCCGCTCGCAGCTGCTGGGGGATCGGTGCCTTCATCAGGCCCCCCTCCGTTCCGGTGTTCGCGAAGAAGTTGCCGGCGGCTCGTTCATGAGATTGGGGTGCTGCCAGCTGTCCTGCCTCGCGTCATTGGTGGCCTGCCAAGCGTCGGATGCCGGGGGGACCGCCCGGGGCGAGCCCCACTCCCCGGCCCTTTAAGCTTAGCTATGCTATGCTAAGCTGCGCTATGCGATGCTATGCTATGCTATGCTATGCTATGCTATGCTATGCTATGCTATGCTGCGCTATGCTTTGCTATGCTTGGCTATGTTATGCTATGATGTGTTATGTTAATGCAGCGCTGCGCTATGCTAAATTAAACTAAGCTAAGCTAAGCTAAGCTAACCCTCTAAGCAGAGCCTAGGTAGGGAATTACACCCATGCTATGATATGCGATGCTGCGCTATGCGATGCTACGATATGCTATGCTACACTGTGCTCTGCTATGCTAAAGCTCAGCGAAGCTAAAATGAAGGTAAGCTAAGCTAATACAAAAGAGAGGTAAGATGAAGCTAAGCTAAGGTAAGATGAAATAAGCTAAGCTAAGATGAGATAAGCAACGCGAAGCTAGGGGAACGTCACTGGGGGAACCGCGGGGCGGATGCCGGGGGAACCGCCCGGGGCGGGTTCCACTGCCCGGCCCTTTAGGTCTAATAGTAAGAACCCTTCTAGGCAGAGCCTAGGTAGGGAAAAACCAAACTTCGGCATCCAAGGGTCTTGCGTCCTTATCGCCCGTCCTTAATACACGTTTTGACTGTAAATGCAGCTTGATGAATTGCCCAATCGGCAGGAAGACGATGGGAGGTGGCACCTGCAGCATGAGAACGAACAGCGAGACTCTCGTGGACATGATGCCTCGGGGCCTTCGCAGGCCGGCAGCCCACAAATGCAGACCAGGGGTCCTGGCCACCACTCCATGGATCAGGTTGTCGGCCAGAGTACGGGCGACGTTCACCAGAACCACGCCGAGGACCGCAATCACGATCGCCACCACCACGGTCGTCATCGTCGTCTCCTCCATCACCGCCTCTATCCGGTATGGCCATGATCATGCGGCTGTTGAGTTTGTAGCCAGAAAGCGACCTCCGCCAAGCCAGACGAGTGCAAATGTCCCCTGTCCATCGCCACGTGTGTCCGCAGTAGTCCACGTAGCTCACGAAGCTGAGTCCCAAGGTGAGCTTGAAGCAGGGGAGACGCAGAAGAGCATCAGCAGGCTTCAGCACGAATTTGAATTTGATATTGCTGATATCCTCCGCTTGGCTGATGCAGAGATGAGCCTGTCGCCCACGAGCGATTTGTTATTCAAGCCAGGCGACGCGACCGAGCACAGGCATCAGGAAGGGGGGGGAGGTCAAGTGAAGAGTGAAAGCCGTTCCCTCAGCAAGTGCTTGATCGAAACGGCTGATGTTATTGTTGATGATGATGATGATGATGATGAGGATTATGATGATGATGATGATGACGATGATGATGATGATGATGATGATGATGATGATGATGATGATGATGATGATGATGATGATGATGATGACGGTGATCATGAACAGCTTGTTGTTCGTCGGTGGAGGCTTAGAAAACTTCTCAGAAGGCTGGGGGACTTCGCGCCTTCTGAGAAGGCCCGCCCCTTCTCACTTCCCCCTCTCGCTCGCCGCCAAATTGTCACGACGCGAGGAGATGGAGGGTTCTGAGGGACGCCTCCGGAAGGTCGAGGCGCTCGAAGACTGGAGTGAAGGGCCCTCGAGACGGCTGGACGTCCACGGCCAGCCTCGCCGACGCGTCGGGCCGGGCGGCCCCGGAGAACCCCCTTCGGCCCGTTCTCCCAGACATCCTGGCGACTTTCAACGACAGCGATCACAACGACAACGATAGCTACGATAACAACGACAACGAGAGCAAAGATAACAACGATTGCAACGACAACGATCAACGATAACAACGACCACAACGACAACAATCACAACGACAACCACGATCAAGACCCGGACCTCCGACGATGCACCCACGGTCTTCTCGATCCGCGTTCTTCTTTGCTCTCGGCCTTCCGGGCCCGTTCTGGGGCCCCGGGGCCATCAAGAATGGGCCCGAGCGAAAAGGTGCCCCGTGGGGCACAGGTCGGGGCCTCCTTCGGGCCGCGCATGGGAAGAAAACAGATCTTCGGATGTCTGGGGCGGTCCAGTTTGGCCCCGGGTTCGTTTGATGACGGGCCCCTGAGGCCGAACGCGAGGAACGACACCAAGATTGAAGACATAATCTCGTCGAAGATCTGCGCCTTCCCGGGCCAGATAGGGGACCACATGTGAACCCTACCCCTACCCCCCACGATTTTTGAGGGGAGGGTGGGGATCACTTCGCTCGGGAGCTCCCGAACGAAGTGAACCCCACCCTCCCCCTCTGAAATCGTGGGGGGTAGGGGTAGGGTTCACATGTGGCCCCCTACCAGATTCAAACTCTCGTAAGGGGCCGTCTCCTGGTGCTCCTGGAGGTCTCCGGAGGTCCCCGGCAGCCGCGAAGGCCGAGAAGCAAGGCCGACGATCGATCGGAGGGCTCCCGAACCGCTTTCCGGGGCCAGTTTCTCGTCGGGGGACGATCATCGCGACAGTATTTTTTGGAGTTTCTCTTCCAAGCCCCCCAAACAACGACGACGACGACGACGACGACGACGACGACAACAACAACTATAACGACAACGACGACGACGACGACGACGATAACAACGACGACGACGATAACGACGACGACGATCGACGACCGACGACCGACGACGAACGACGGACGACGGACGACGGACGACCGACGACGGACGACGGACGACGGACGACGACGACCGACGACCGACGACCGACGACGGGCGACGACGACGAGGACGAGGACGACGACAACAAAAACAACAACACGGCCCCAGCAGAGGCCGAGAAGCACGAGGGCAGGCGCCAGCAGCCAGCACCGGACGGGGGAGCGCGCGGCGTCGGAGGCCTGGGCGCCCTCGTGTGCGCACGGACCCGTCGCGGTCGGACGGAGTGGGTCAAGCATTCCACAAGAAAGCATTCCGTACAGTCAACGCGCCTAGTAAGGACGCGCGCCTTCATCTAGGGTAACCTTGTGTCCTTGCCTCTGAGGCCCGTCCTTGCCATTATCACTGGTCGCCCGCCGCCCCCAAAAAACCCAACTTCGGCCTCCACGGGTCTTGCTTCCTTATCACCCGTCCTGAATACACGTTTTGACTATAGGTAAGGATGCGCGGCACAGTGGAGGCTAGTCCACAAGAAAGCCTTCCACAAGAAACCCAACCCTGACACCCCAGGACGTCCATGGGTATTTGGGTATCTCTGGTGTGGGAGCGTCGCGCTCTCCATCGCAAGACCATCGAAACCCAGGAAACCCAGGGCCCCCTGGAGGCAAGCAGGGTATTTCTTGGCATTGATCTCCACTGCAAGGATGCCAGAGCATTGAAGAGCCATGTTTGCGTTTCCGAGCGGGACTGGCCAGCGAAAGTCACCAAGGATGGGCCGGAAGGGCAAGGATGCAAGGATAGTATAGGAGAGTTGCTCATCCATACTGTGCGACCTGACTCTAGGGGGTGGGGAGTCTGAGGGGTTGTGATACCCCCCAGGCCTCCCTGAGAGAAGCTTTCGGCCCCAGAGCGTCAGCATCGTCGTCGCTGCCGTCGCCGTCGTCGTCGTTGTCGTCGTCGTCGTCACCGTCGCCATCGTCGTCCTCGTCGTCGCCGCCGTCGTCGTCGCCGTCGTCGTCGTCCCCGTTCAGGCTCGGCGGCACCGGCCGTAAGGCCTCTGCAATAGGAAAGCGCTCCAAACAGTTTGGCACCTGGAAATCCCCGATGGGTACTTGTCCGGGCCAATCCCCGATTGGCGCCAGAATCCTAGTACTGTCCCCGCGACACCTCAAAGCGAAACTATCAACTTTTTCCGAGCGGTTCGCTTTCGATTTCGCTTTCTTAACTATGAACTTTTTCGGGGGAGCTTCGCTTTCGCTTTCGCTTTCCTAACAATTAACCATTAACTATTATTGGATGTTTCGCCGATTGGAACCTGGAAAAATCCCCGATTGGCGCCCAATACGCTTCCAAAAACCGAGGGGTGCCTGCTCGGGCCGCCTGTAGCCTCCAGAGCTCCCCCGGAGCCTCTGCAGCTCGACCCACGAACCCTCATGCCTCCGCCGCCGCGTGTTGCTGCTTGCTCTTCACGGTCTCCGCCCGAAGATGTTCGTTTCTTGTTTTTTCGTTTTCGCGTTTGTTTCTTTTCGTTTTTTCGTTCTCGCGCTTGTTGCTTGTTTTTTGCGGAGGCCTGCTCTTCTTCCCAGATGCTTTCCTCACGGCCCGTGGTGCCGGGAAAACGGCCCCTGGCGGCCAGAAGCCGCCGCGCCTCTTGTGTTGCGCCCTCCTTGCGTCCTCCTTTCGAGCGTCCTCCTTTCGGGTGTCACTTGCCTTCCTCCTCCTTTCGGGCGTCAGGCCGGGCCTGCGGTGCGCTGGCTGGGTGCCCCGCAGCGCCGCCCTCCTCGGTGGCCTCGTCGCCCCGGCTCAGGCCCCGAGGCGAAAAGTCCTCCGCGGCCGGGTGGGTCGTCGTCGCCGCCGCAACGTCCACCGCCGCCGCCGCAACGTCCGCCGTCGCCGCCGCCGCTGCTGGGGCCAGGGGCAAGGGGAAGGTTGAGATGTTTGGTTGTTGTTGGTCGCCTCCCTGGGCCTCCAGAGGTCTCCAGGGAGGCCACCGAGGACCTCCATGCGCATGATAAATCTGGGGGCGAGGATCGAGGCTCCAAGACTCTTGACGCTGCTGGAGCCCTTCAGGGCCTCTGCGTGTCTCTGGAGACCTCATGGGACCTCGAGGGAACTCTGGAGATGGGATATGGAGCAGGGGAGGGAGAGGAAGCCTCCCCATCGTCCCCGTTCTGCTCGCCCTCCCGCCCCTCCTCCTGCGTCGGAGCGGAACAATCACGGCTCCGTATTCCCGCATCGCGCACGACTTTACGATGTCTCAAAGGAAGATCGGAGGGTGCAGCGCCGAGGAAGAGGAAGAGGACGAGGATGAGAGGGAGAGGAGCAGCACTGACAGCGGCACCACCATTAGGGGGCCACATGCGAACCCTACCCCTCCCCCCCACGATTTCTGAGGGGGAGGGAGGGGTTCACTTCGATCGGGAGCTCCCGAACGAAGTCAACCCCACCCTCCCCCTCAGAAATCGCGGGGGGCAGGGGTAGGGTTCGCATGTGGCCCCCTAACCATGACGATCGTGCGTGGTAGCTGCGGGTCGCCTGAATTCAGCCCATCCTACTGCAGCGCCGACGGAGGGAAATCCTGGCACGCCCAGCCGAGCATCCCCACACCTCTTGTTCTCTTCACCCTTTGGCCCACGGCCTGGAAGCCGCCGACCTTTCTGCGAATGTGGCCGTCCAAGAACTCCATGTCTTCGCGCCTAGTGGCCGTCGCTTTCCGTGCGTTACCAAACCTGAAGTTGTAGCCACTGGCCAATTCAAACAATTTTCCAACAAAGACGATGCCAAACAACCATCAAGCCAACGTGCAAACAAAGTGAGCGCAACCGCAATCGCTCTTACTTCCGCTGCGACGTGCCACCACATCAACAGCGAGCGAGGTAACACCAGCGACACAAAGAACATTGACTCCGCCAGTCCGTCAACGCACAGAGTTCAATGTTTGGGGGATTTGCAAATCATCATTGGGGAAATCAAAAGATACCGACACCGCTACTCCCTGGACCTCTCCCAGAGTTTGCTCTTACCAAAAATTCGGAACGAATTCGGCGGTGGCCACGAGGGCCTCCCAGGCGGCCTCATGAGGGGGAAACTGGGGCAAGGGTAACCGTATCGGTACCTTTTCCTCCTCTGAACTCTACCCTCGCTGAGAGAACATCCTGGGAATACCAAGCGAGCGATGCAAAACAGACGACGTACCGCCCAAAGCAGGGCACGAGCCCGGCCTCGCAAGCCGTGCGCGATCCAGCGTGCCGACCCCTATCAGCCCCGCCAGGCGTCCCCCGCGAGGAAGGAAACATATTCGATCGCACCAGGGGGTCCAGAACAAAAAGAAGAGCGCGCCTTGCCAACAGCGTAAACCTTAGGCATCCGCCTGGTGAGCAGGCCACCTCGAACAAGCAAGACGATCGTGTGAGGTACGTCGGTCATCGGGTTCGAACTCCGTCTTCGATCGCCAACGTACTCCCCACATGGTTCTCCGGTTCGCCGGCGGGGAAAGCATGTGCTGGCTGTTGCGTCGCCGCCAACGTCGAACGTTGCGTGAAGCAATTGTGCCGCGTCCAACGTTTCATGAAACGGTTGCCACTGCGTATGGGAGAGGAAGGCGGTGGCCTTGGTAAGACCGCTGCGTCCCAATGGTAATCCTGCAACGCTGAGACGCTCCCAATCACGGCCTTGGTCACAAAGCCATTATTGCAAGCATCTGCGGCATCGCAACCCACCTCGCCCCTACCGCAGAACATGGTGATGTAATCCTCTTTGCCCTCGGCACGAAACCAATCCGCCCGTCTGCATTCGATCATCACCTCGCGGTACATCCCGATCGCGGTACATTAACGAGTTACAGGTCGGCCGCAACCTGGGCAAACCCCACCCCCCCATATCCGCCACCGTGCCCGGAGGCACGAGTTGGAGTGTCCTCAAGTCCTTCGAATGCAAGGTCTTCAACTGTGAAATCAAAAGGCCTGGACCCCCCCATTGCCAGATCTCCTGGGCCAAACGCGTACCAGGGGCGTGTTCCTGGGCGACCTGTTGTCCGGAGCCGATGCCAAGAGGGCTCCAAGGAGACGGTCCAAGAGGGCCCCGAGTCGGCCCGAGAGCGCTCCGAGGTGCCCAAGATGCTTCAAGAGAAAGCCCAAGAGGCATGCAAAACGCAGTAAGAGGGCTCCAATAGGCCCCCCAAGAGTGCCCCGAGAAGCCAAAATCATTAATTCGGCCCAAGATGCCCCCGAGATCGTCCCAAGGCGGCCCACCAAGGAGGCCCCAAGTCGCCCCAAGAGGCCCCTTAAGATGTCCCAAGACTGCCCCAAGAGGGGCGCCAGAAGGGTAACGCGAGCCGAATTCCGAGACCTCCGCCCCAAGATGACCGCCGAGACCGCCAGCAGGCCCCCAAGATTCCCCCAGAAGCTCCAGGAAGCCCCAAGAAGCCCAAATCAGTCCCCAATAGGCCCCTGAGAGGCCCGAAAAACACCCCAAAACCGCCTCCAAGAGGCTTCCGAGAGGCCTCCCAATAGATCCCCACAGGCATTCAAGAGGGCTCTGACCTACAACCAAGGCACAGCGGCGGGATGGACCGAAGGCCACTCGAGATTTCCCGAAGACAGTCTTGAATGGTCAATGCGATGGAAGCCGTCGTGCCTGCAGCCGCTTCATACACCATCACTTGCAATACTGTGGGTCCTTGGTATACAGGCGGCTGCCGGCTGTTCCCATTATCCTCAATACAGTCTCCCGTGAAGGACGACAGTGAAACGAACCAACAATCGCGCTGCACTGGTTGTATTGCCGTGAGCCAAAAAAACGACAAAGAGGGAATGAACAGCAAAAGGACGATGAGGTACGACAGCGACGAAAGGGAGCGCCGTCGGCGTCGGCGACGACGGCGACGGCGGCGACGGCACTGGCGCCTACGCTGCCGACGCTGCCAACGACTTGGAGTTCGGCAAGGCACAAGGTTGGAAACCCGATTTGCCTTGCTGCTGCTCTGAGGGTGGGGGCTGTGCCGACGAGAGGTTGCAGCCCCGCTCAACCGTGTGCTGTTGACCAAGGCTTCCGGGCGGGCCCTTCCCCTGTGCTCTTCCGCTTTGAGTTCGGCTTCAGCTGCGGGCACACAGGTACGCTTCGAAACGCCTGCGGGCCAGCTCAGATTTATCGTGGAGGTCAGCGCACGAGCGTGAAGCACGCGCCGGATGCGAAGCAGGATCGAGCGCGCAGCACGCGCCCGAGCGTGAAGCACGCATCGCTGTGATAATATGTCGTATTGCCCCCCCCGTCCTCCCTCCGCGCCCGCACGGTTCATCACGTGTAGAGACGATCACTTGCAGCGGTGCCCTCTGTGTCTGGTTGCACGGCCATGGGGACATATGAAACCAGACAGATTCGTATCGTCGAGTCTGGGGCTACTCCACTCTGTTCGGCCTCTGCGCCCGCATCTGCCAGCGAGTCCACACATGTGGCGGGTTCTGGAAACCCTGAACCCAAAAATGTTGCCATCTCTTAGGGGCGCACTTTTTACTTTCGCCGCCTTTGCCCGGCCTTCCGCCCGCTTCGGCTGGCGAAGGCGGCCACGTTTTACTTGCGCCGGCTTCCGCCGACCTTCTGCCGAGGGAGAGATAGCAACTCCTTCGATCCTCGAAGGTGAGGCGCCCTCATGTATTTCCGAGAACTGCATGATCCATGCCTGCACCGATGCTGCTTATGTCGGCCCACGCTGGCAGGGAAGCCGAGTTCCTTCCGGCGCTCAAACAGTGCACGCGACGCGGCGAATGTGACCATGGGTCTGGTTTTCCTGCGATGCAGAAAGCCGATCACGTGTCCACTGCAATTCGACTCGCCTGGCGAGATGCACATTCTTTACATATCCCTGGTAGTTCAAAGGTGAACGCGAACAACATCTCTACTTACACACGCACGTCAGAGGAGGAGGGAGGAGGAGGAAGAGGAGGAAGAGGAAGGAGGAGCAGGAGGGGGAGGAAGAGAAGGAGGAGGAGGAGGAGAAGGAGGAGAAGGAGAAGGAGGAGGTATGAGGAGGGAGGAGGAGGAGGAGGAGGAGGAGGAGGAGGAGGAGGAGGAGGAGGAGGAGGAGAAAGGCTGTCTCATTCATCTGCAATGCCACGCAGGTAAGGGTACGAATGAACCACAATTCCTATCATGCATTTCGGGGCAGTCCACGTGGCAAGGGAACATACGAATGTCGCATGTGTGTTGTATCTTGAGCCCTGGCTTTCAGAATCCCCTCGTCAGGGTGGCGCTTGCCGCGCCCCAGACCCAGCAGCTTGGCATAGCGGCCAGACTGCTGCCCTCCAGTAGTTTTGGAGGGACACGAACCCCCGAGGAAGCATTATTCGCGTTGGATCTCGTTGAGTATTTTCCCAGAAGGGGGAGGGGGAGGAGGGGGAGGAGGAGGAGGAGGAGGGAGGAGGAGAGGAGGAGGAGGGGAGAGGAGGAGGAGGAGGAGGAGGGAGGGAGGAGGGAGGGAGGAGGGAGGAGGGAGGGAGGGAGGAGGGAGGAGGGAGGAGGAGAGGAGGAGGAGGAGGAGGAGGAGGAGGAGGAGGAGGAGGAGGAGGAGGGGGAGAAAATAATAAGAAAAGCCGAGGAAGTCGAGCCAACCGAGGCAAGCATGTATACAACACGCAACGGACGAGGAGTCCTGGTCGCCCATGCCCGACGCAAGCCCGCAGTCACGGGCGCTTCGGGCAGCCAGGGATTCCCAATGCCCGAGGGGATCGGCCGAGAGGCCGAGCCTCGCCGGGAGCCTGCCTCTGGTCCAGCCGGAAAACCGGGGCGGGCCACCACGACATACAGGCCTCCCTGCGGGACTGGGGGGTC